TTATATATATATATAAAGTATTGTTGTCATAAATTTATGCATAAAACATGATTAGAAGTGTATAGAGCCATGATTGAGCACATGTGACCCTCAAATAATTATGGATTAAAAAAAAAAATAGAGTGGACATTACTACCAACAAAATAAAATCAAAGGAAAAAATATTGATAAGATTCTTTTTCTTAATTCATTAATTAATTTTTAGTAGTGTAGGTTTGTGAAGGCCCCACCATAAGAAAAGTTATTTTCTATTATTTTTATTTTTATTATTATTTTAAAGTATTCCACTCTTAAAATCCTTGCTGTTTCCAGCTATTTGTGGGTCCCAAATTTTAATCAATTAAATTGATTTTTCTAATGAAACCCTAATTTCTAAAGGAATACAAATCGAACACATTACCTTTAATTAAATATTCCCTAAAACTGGACTAAAACCTAATTAGTGTATTTCATATTAATTGTTGTATTAGCTGTCACTTCATTCAAAGCCCTTCGACGCCGACACTCTACAATTCCCACTTTATATATATATATATATTTATTTCTACCAATATCATGAAAAACATACCAAATATAATATATATATATATATATATATTAAATTTATTTATAAATCCATAAAAAAAATAGAACATAAAAGGAGAAAGAGCAGAGAAATTTAAAAATTAAATAATATGGTCTTAAATTCTAGTAACCACCAGTATTACATTTATAGTTCCTTTGTTTATATGGGAATTATAATAATCATGAAATGATAAATATGCTCTTAATATTATTTGTTGGTCGGTCTTCTTTTGTCAAGCTTCGGATAAGTTTGTCACTAGGCTTTTAGTGACGATCGAGTTTTGAGTTTCGGTCGGTCTTTGCTCGATCTGTTTCTGAGTCAATCGATCAACCAAGTTGGTTGTCTCTCTAGTTGGTTGGTTCCTAGGTGAGCTTCGGGTCGATCGGCCGACTGGTTCTCATTTGGTTGGTTTCTTTCTGCTTGTTTATTCTCATCTTATTTAGTTCCTTGGACGTGCGTCTAGCCCAAGGCTATCTGATATGATCAATCACATTTTCCTTATATATATATTTTTTGTATTTATGAGAACTTCATGTCATGATGAATCACTTTTAAAACATAGGTTTATATTTGTTGATGATGGGATTATTATAATGGACTTCTTTTATAGATTATTGACACCATTTTAATTCTCTTTTTTCCCCAATATCCTATCGTTAATACATAAGCCTAAGAAAATATAATCTGTTATATTTTATTGACTTTAATGAATCAATTTCTGGTAAATTTAAGCGGTCATTTTTATAAATATCACCATTATATTGCTGTCTTTAATCTTTAACAAACATTCCAAAATAACTTTTGGTTATTTCTCTCTTTATTATATTCAGGATAAATTAATTTAATCACATATTTATATCACCCAATTCTTGTGGTCTTACACATCTAATATCAAAATTTAAACATTTAATTATCTTGCACTTTAGTACAATTACATAAAACTTTTTGGATAAAAAAGTTATTTGATTGTAAAAAAATTAATATTAGTGATTGATGTGTGTCAGAAAGTCCGTGGCTGTAAAGTGATTATTTAAGGTCTTATTGTTGCACAAGCATCCATCATACACTCAGGTAATTAAAATTACATATAGAGACATGAGAATTTTTTACGTGAAAAACTCTGTAAAAAGATAAACCGTGCGGCCTAGCCTTCCAATTGAAATAATCCACTATAAAATGGTGAGTGCATATGCCTACTCTTCTCTTGAATTAGAGAAGATGAAATTACAATACTGTTGTACAACGGTAGTTCAGCGATAATAGTAGAAACGCATCACGAAGACTGCAGTTGATTGTTATGGAGGTGGTTGCCCGCCATGAATGTTATAGACAGTCGATGCAACGTCAGCTTGTTGCTTACGTTGTAGTGGAAAGCTATTGTAATACTTGGCTATGTAAGTCATAGATGATTGTTTGTCGATTGACCACAAAGTTTGTAGTGGGAAGCTGCGTGAGCTGTGAGCTATGTAGGTCATAGTTATTCACATAAGACATAGGGGGAAGTTGTAATAAAGTTCATAGACTGTGGAGGTTGGAGTTGGGAACTGTGTCAGTTGCAAGTCACGTAGGCAGTAATTTGTCACATAAGTAGTTGTGGGAAGCTGCAATAGTATACGTGGACTATGGAGGTCAGAGTTAGGAGTTTCATGAGTTATAATAACGTTCATGGCGGAACATAATGTTCCTATCAGATTTCTCTAAAATTTGTTAACAATGGCATTTGTTATGTTCACGGTTCTATCAGTTGGTTTAGGGTTAACAATTTTGAACTCAAATCAAGTAATGTGCGGGTCAAGTTATCCCTACTTGGTCAACGATTTGTGTGTCAAATTAGAAGTACCCAACACAACAATTCAAATTGAAATTCAAAGATGTTTAATTCCGTATAACTATAAATTTTGTACTATAAAATGCAAAGAAGGAAACTATACAACAAGTCAAGGAGGTATAGTGGCATCTAAATTAAAATATGGGCATTTAATTACATACCACCCAATTCCTCCTATATATTTACCTAACAAACCCCTTAAGTTTACATTTTACATTTACATCACCCAAATCTTTCATATCATATAAAACTAACACAATTTTAACTCTTAAAATGTGAAATTACAGCTTTTTCATGAATACGTAATGTATGTAAGAAATTAAAGTTTGGATGTAAAAT